AATTTTATGAAAAATGAGCTGCAAAATTATTTTGAAAAGTGAAGTTCATTTTTGTTCAATGCTTGATCAGGGTGCTTGCAATGGACCGACACGGAGGAATGTATTTTTCCAAAAACAAAGAAGAGGCGGGTACTAGAGGCCGCTCATGTTACTAGGCTGGAGGTTACTGGCAGGTACTAATGGTTTATGACAAGGAAGAGCTAATAAGAGTTGGTTTAGTTAATAAGAAGTTGGTTCATAATTAATAAGGTTGTTTGAATTTTGCTACTGATGTGAGGGTTTTGTTGGTATACAATCTGTTAGTACTTATATAAGGACTTTCTGAATTTGAACGAATGTTTTGGCCCTAGTTAGTATCTAACTCACCTAAACTTGGAATATTAATGTCATTGGAAAAATACTTGCAAATGCTAATAAGATTACTTGCTTGAAAGCAATGAATGTACCAAAATGTTGATTTAAAATATTGACAAAATATTTCAAGAATGTTAGTTAATTCTAGGGGTGTACATAAGATGGGACTACGGGTCCCCGTCTTCTCTAAAAAACTGCAACTGTCTTTTTAACTTGCAAAAATTATTTTCCCAAAAACCTAAATTATAAGCAGAGAAATCATGCATTTGATAATAAAAAAATCACTGGAATAAAAAACAGGCACTAACATTAACAATTTAATAAGTGAATTTTTAAAAAATAAATAAATAAATATTCAGTTTAGTGTCCCGTCTTAAAAAATTTTTTGTCTTGTCCCAAATGGACAAGGACCAGAACCGAATAAGTTGAATATCTTTGCTTAACTCATTTTTTCAACCAAAATAAATAAATTTTGATTTTATGCCTTGTTAGCCCCGCCGAGGGATGATCCAATCTAAAATTAAATAAATCTTTGATTTAAACCAAAAGTTAAAAGGAAATGGTTCACAAAGATTGGATTATCTTTGATGACTCCAAAAGTATTTGGGAATTTGTGAAACTGACTTTCAGAATTGGAACAAATGGTGTCTGTGGATTGGTAATAGCAAAACTAACTTTTATTTTACTTGATTTTTACAAACATAAGTTAGGGTAAAATCACTTAGTGTAATGTGATTTATATTTGGATTGATTTTTATAAAAGTCAGTTTGACAAATTGAAACTTGTTTAGATGTATAATGAAGAAGTAAATTTAGATATAAAATGATAAAAAAGGACATGAGTTTTATAATACACTATCTCTAATTCTTAATATAAGACTTGGTTAACTAATATTGGAAAACTAATGAAGTTAAATAAATTACTTTAAAATATTTATATTTATCATTTTTCTTCAAATTAATTTATTTGACTTATAAACTCATATGTAATTTAATGATACACAGAAGTATTTTAGAAATATCATGTAATATATAATATAATTAAGTAGTTTATTTATCTTTCTTAATCTATTCAAATTAATCTTTTGGAGTCTTATATTAAGGAGTGAAGGTAATATATGATATGTATGCAAGTTGATAAATTTTAGAAAAATAATAAACTAAATTAATTAAATTTATTAGATAATTTTTTTCATCTTAGAAAAAAAAATCAAATTATTAGGTCAAAATAGGATCTATTTAAATATCCTGACATTTCATCCTCATCTTTATTTCCTCTCTCTCCACATTACAAACACCAAAAGCTCAAATTCCCAGCGTTTCACTGCAATGAACTTTTCCTCCAAAACGGCAATTCAAACGTCTGCTAATTGGTTGTTTGGTGTGACTTTATGATTTGCCTTAAAAGTTAGGGAAATTACAATTAGACCTCACCCAAGAAAATTAAATATAAAAAAGTCCCACTAAAATCATGAAATTATTCTGAAATCCTAAAAGACTTTTTTGCAATAAATTTTATTTATTTAACTACTGAATTGTCTTTTTCTTTTAAAGTTTGCATCGACAACTGAAAGTACAGTCGTTGATAACTAAGGTGTAAGAATTGACAACACATTTTCTCAGTACATCACAAAATGTAATACATAAGTTGTTAATACCTGCCGCAATAGTTGTTAATTCTTACATCTTAAGCTGTCAACTACTACTCTTTTAGTTGTCAATACAAACTTAAAAAAAAGATAATTTGATAATTAAACAAATAAAATTTATTATAATCCCTTAAGACTTCAGAATAATTTCATGATTTTAAGAGTTTTTTTGTATTTAATTCCCTTAGGTGGAACAATTGGAATTTTCTCTAAAAGTTAGTTGCAGAAGAGCGGTGAAATTTTGAGCTTTTGTATGTGCCAATGTGGAGAGAAAAAGTAAATAAGGATGAAAAGAAAGATAACAATATTTAAGGGGGTTATATCTTAATCTAATAATTTGATTTTTCAATAATAATTTAATTATTTTTCATTTATTTTTTTTATATTTGTCAAATTATACATATGATAGGCTGTCTCAAGCCTTTAGTATAAAACCAAGCGAATTAATTTAAAGAGATTAAAGAAGCTAAATAAATTATTTAATTATTTTATATATTATATGATCTTTTTAAAATATTTATAGATATTAGATTACAGATCAATTTATAAGTAAGATAAATTAATTTGGAGGAAAATAATATCCTTCAATCATTTTACTTTTAGGGCCTATTTGGATATCATTCCAAACCATGGTTTTGGACCCAAAACCATAGTTTGGACCAAGTGATATCCAAAGAGCCTCATTTTTGTCAAAACCTTGGTTAGAGTCAAAATCTTGGTTTGAACTGATGAAACCATGATTTCCTGGAAAGTGACAATTTTTCGCTTCTAGAAAATTAAAAACGAGTCGTTGGAAGTGTCAGAGGCTATCAATGGTGTATTTGACAAAAACATCCACAGGAATTATTTCACGCTTCGCCTGTTCGTCCTTAGCCATCGCTCCTCTAAAGACACCTCTTCACCCCTGCGCCAGAATATGCGCTAACTTTTAAATGTGTTCATGTATATCTTATAATATTAAGTCGGTGAGGATATATATAATTGTTATGCCCCGTTTGGTAGCATGGAATTGGGCCTGGAGAAGTGGAAGTGGAAGTGGAACTCTGCTTTTGACTCGTTTGGTGTCATGGAACCCAGTTCCATCAAAAATGATAGAAGTGGGTTCCATCATTCCCCCCAAGGAACCAAGTTCCAGCTCCTCGGAACTGGGGGTCTCCCTATTTTATCCTTTGGCTCCATGGCAACCTTGATCCTCCCCCATCAACGGCGGCGACATTCCTCCACCATCAACAGCGGTGACATTCCTCCACCATCAACGGCGGCGACGCTCCTCCACCTGCGCCGATCCTCACTACACCATCGATGGGATCGTCTGAGGAGAGAAAGGGGGCAAGAAGGGACGAAGGCAGGTGACCCATGAGAATAACCTCCCACATTCCAGACCACAGCTTTGTTCGACGGCGACCTTGACAACTTCCTTCACAGAGAAAACTAGGCGCATTGTCGACAACCAAAAGAGGGATGTTTGACGGCGGTGAGAAGATAAACGATTGAGAGCAAGAGGTGGTTATGGGCTTCGATGGAATTTTTTTTCTGCGATTTTCAACTTGCTTTTTCAAAAAATCCATCATCTTTGCTGGTCTGGTTTGTGTTTTTCAGTGATAGTAGCTCTTGGAATCATTAGCTTCAAGCCACGAATTTTATGGCCACCATTGATGGCGGCGAAGCTTTGTGGGTGGTGGGAAGAAAGAGTGTTCGGCTAATGGAGTGATGGGTTTACAGTTTTTTCCTCTTTTTTTTAGTTTAGGGGTATTTTGGTCTTTTTACACTGAAAATATATAAATTAATGCAACAATTCCACCAACATACCAAACACACTTTAAAACCCACTTCCATTTCCAGTTCCACTTCCACTTCCATTTCCATCAGAAACTCTTCCATTATACCAAACGAGGCATTAATGAATTGGTTTCTTTATTAATACACATGATAATCAATAAATCAATAAATATACCAAATATTTATTTCTTTGAGGTCCGGGTTCGGCATACCAAATATAGCGCCACTTCAATATATCATGAACAAATTTATTTTTTGAAATTAAATTATATTATAAAATTTATCTTTTATGTAATTATCATATTAACTTATGTCCCTTCTAGTAATTTGTACATATAAAAAGTGCTTCTGATAACAACTATTCAAACACTCTCACTTCTCAGAATCACTTTTTCACAAAATATATTCTTCATAAAATCTATTCTTCTCAGAATCTATTCTCCAAAAGCTATTCTCCAAACCATGGTTTGGTTTCATCCAAACACTCCCTTAAACTTATTTTTTCATTACTTATTCAAATAAGTTTAACTTATCTAAATATAAATAATATTACACTAAGTAATTTTACTTTAATTCACATTTGGAAAAGTTAGATAAAATAAAATTAATTTTGGTAGCACATTCTATACTCATCATAATGATAAACTTGGAGTGCTCGTCGCAATTTGGACTATCTAGATCAATTTTTTATGGTTGAGATTGAATTTAATTTTTTTTATATATTTCAATTAACTTTTTGTTTTAATAGATACAGAATTTAAAATAAATATAACATCATAACTAACGTATCTTTAAAAAAATAAATTTATTATTAAAAAAATTACATATTAAAAATTTTAAATATGGACCATCTCTATTAGATTTTGAATACTTTGGATTACATTACAGTGATGAGGACATGCAACAATGAGCACACCCAGTAATTTTTGCCACCATTGATTCAAAGAGGCAGATGATTTCGACTAATTTCTAGATCTTTTTTGGGGACGTAACATTTTCACCTTATTCCTGATACTTAATATAAGAACTAGATGAATTTGATTAAATTAAAAAGTTTATTAAATAAATTATTTATAATAAATAGGTATTATTTTTTTTAAAATATTTTTACTAATCGTATATGTTAATTAGAAATATTATTATTATAAAGATTATTTAAAAAAAAAAAAAAAAGATAAACGAGCGCTTATGCTCACGATCAAATTTACTTTACAATCAAAGCATCCTCATCGTCCCTGTTTCTTCATAGCCAGCGCCACCTTTGGTTCAGACGGAGTTGTATCTACATCAGCAGCATTGAGCCCGTCAACTATGGATGAAGCAGAATTTCGACGGGTTCTCCAACTCTTTCCAGTGGTCCGTTCTCGCGATTACTGTGTACGTATCTCTTCATGCTTAGGGTTTAATGTTTCATGCGTCCAGCTTGACATTATCTGTATTAGGCGGCGATCTCACTTCAATGATGGTGAAAGTTCGATTGAGACCCGTATTGTGATATTCGTGGTCAGCGTATTGTGTCTTTGTTATACAGTGGTATCCATTTGCTTCTAGTTTGGTTAAGGGTGCTTACTTAGCCCGCTTGTTCCCAAAAGAATTGTGCTGCATACAGTGGGAATATCAGATAGGATAAGAAAATTCACATTATTGTCTTTTCCCTTTTGTATCATTTGGGTATCCATTGGTGAAGGCTGATGATAACACAGGGGATTTAGGGTTAAAATGACAATATTTACTGCGGAGTTCAATCGGTTCTTTCCACCATTCTACTACTTCCTCGATGGGTATTGAACCAGAAAACATGATAGAATAGGAAGAAGATAGAGGGAAGGAAGACGGAGAGAGGGTGAGGTCAGAAGGAAAACTCAATTCGCATTTCGCACGACTCAAACAGAGACTAATGCCTCAGCTTATGACATGCCAGCCAGGGGTTAAGCCATATGGAAATTACAAGGATAAAAAAGATATGCCATATCATTCCCAGTCCTAACTTCCCAGGCCTTGTGCCTCACACGCGGAGATAGATATTAGCATCGTTTGATATGGTGAGACAACATTAATCAAATCCTTTACTTCAGTCATGCTCTGAATACAAAAATTCCTTGAAAGGTTTCAAGTTGGAGATCTGGAGAAGAGTCTCAAACTCCAAACATGAACTGAGAGTTGCTGAGAAAGGGTCGATAGGCGTAACACATTTGTGTATATAATTTATTCAATTTTGAATAATTATCCAAGTTAGATGTTGATCAAGGTTAGATAAGTTTTATTAGTAATACTTCTATGTTCTTCGGCCGTATAGCTTATGAAATTTGAACGTTTTGCTCGTGTATAATCACCCTTACTCATCATGATTCTGAGTAAATCATTTGTACATTAATTATATTGGTTCTACTACTTGATAGAAAAATTAAAAATTGTGTCAGCGCAACCCAAAGGAGCTAATGATTTGGAATGCTAGGATATTTTTTTGGGAATTGGTCAGTTAGTTCTGTATAGCCATGCTTTTTGGCTGAGCCCGAGCTTTCTGGGCCTATATTTAATTGAATAATAAATGTTTGCCAATTCAGAGGCAAATCATTTTTCTTTTGGTGCTTTTATTGCACTACTCTGAAAGATTTGTACCCTGACTCTGATAATCATATCAATGGGAGCTTTATACAATCTACTAGTCCTGTTCAAACTTGTATTGTTTTTATGTTTGTGGGTGGGTGTTTAACCTTTCCATAGATTATCCAGTCAACTGAGCTTCCTGAATCCAAAGGGCATCGGATTTCTTCAGATGTATTTGGTAGTTGAATGTTTGGGGTGAATTTGTCAATGATGCCTTTTGTTTAATGTTCATGTTTCATTGTACTTAGTTTGAATGCTTTCCTTCTTGCAATTATAAGCGGTTTTATTGCTGTTAAAGTATTTGGATTTCATTAACATAATGTAAAGCAATCTTGTACAAGCTATGACAATCAAAGTATACGCATTTTCCTAGACATTGCATGGAGTTGGGAAAATGATCCGCACAGTTCAAGCCTTGTGAACAGTAGGACTTTCTATAGAGTTTAATACAACTAAATACCCGAACATTAATATATTTGGCATGATTATTTGACTAAATTATTGCCTTATTTTAATTATGCTTTCATTCACCTCGTCAACAATTGTAAAACTTCAGGCAGAATCAGGATCCAGACAATCAACTTCTAGATCTGCACAGGATGAGGTCGTTGTACTGACACTACTGTTTACATTGTTTTGTCTCTCTCTGTATGTTTCTATGTATATATAATGCAGTCTAACTAATTTGTCGCAATAGCTGAAGGAATGGCAAGATGCATGGGATGGCGGCGAGAGGGAGCTTGAGATTAAAGGAAATGAGCGTGGTGGTATGTCACTCACTTCATTCTTAGTCTGTTCAAGTTTACTATTTCTAATTCATTTTAATTAGCTTTATTTCTCAAGGAAGCATATCAAAGTTCACGAGTGACATGGCATTACTAGATTATAAAAATTGTCTATTTCGTTTCTGTGAAGAAAGAAGTTTTATAAGAAACAGAAGAGAGGGAAGCTGGAGGTTAACTGGAAAGCAATAAACCATAATGTCTTGAAATTACGGCAACTTCGCCATCCTTGAGCATATCTGTAAGACAGATATTCCCATGGAACAGCTATTGACATAGCGTTACAGGCAACCTATAACTGTGACCCTCCCCTTTAGGACATGTTAAAGGAAAGGAACATCTCAAAAGTTCAGGTATTCTGAACCAGCTAATTACAACCTAGAGCTGAAACATTGGACACACTCACTAAACTTTGGCATCCTTATTCTTACCAAGACCGTTGAAATGTATAATTAGAAAGCGAGCCAACATTTACTATTATACTTGAGGAAGCAACCCAAAATAAGTCATATCATAGGAAAATAGCTGCAAGTAAATGCAAAAATTAATGGGGAACTATTTCTGAACTATATTTTCATGTAAAGGCAAAGAATAAGAGCTTTGTGAGGTTTGCAGATTTGCAATGTCTTCTTTGTGTCAATATTGTTGAGTACTGTTTTGACAAGGAAGGACAGCCTTAGATGGGGTCCAAATACTCTATTTGAAGATACTGGCTGTAATGCTGTCCTTTTTCTTTGTCATTTAAACTAGCATCTTATAAGATATCCGGATTTGTGTTTTTCAACTTGTGCTGTCATGGTTCATTGAACTTAGAACTTAAATCATGTTGTGTTGATGTGAATTCATGTCAACAGATGAATTTTGGAGCAAGCTAAAGTCCGTTGCTGAGAGGAAGGTAAACTTCACTTCACCTGTAATGGACATTTTGAATTTGATTGGGCATCTGAATGACACTTTTTAAGTTCCATAAAAGGGGACATGTATTGCTGTGTTTGTCGGAAATATCGTAGTTTGTTCCATGACACCCTTGTTTAAGTCTTACCTCTGATTTTAAACTTAATAAAAGAATCACTATAATCTCAAATGTCGGATCTGATCATATCAATATTTGGAAACTTGTATATTCTCTTTCACAATCAATACCCCACCCCCGAAACAACAACCCAAAAAAGAGAGGGGGAAAAAAAAAACCCTTAAAGAATGCGACCCATTTTGACATTGAGAGAATTGAAAATTGGCAGAAAAGGATGGGCAAAGAAGCATGAGATACATGCATTTTGCTTGTCATGATGAAATAGACTTCAATGCAGCTTCCCGTATCTTTTCTATTTGGTTCCCCAGTTAAAACATGACAAGCGTATGGTTTAATTAGGAAACTATGTAATTGTATGCAAAAGTCCTACAGTTGTTATATTATTATTAAGAGCCATGGACTTGCTGTTGAAGAATTGAGAGCAAAAATACAAGGAACTACATATATCATTTTTCCTTTCACAATTTCATTTGTTGATGCTAACCCAGATTCTGTCTTACCCACATGAAATAAACTAACTTCTGATGCCTTGTCTCGTCTTTTTTCCTTCGGCAATACATATTGGCCATTGTAGTCATTCGAATATTCAGTAGTTTAACAAATGTTGTCGGCAAATGTAGCATACTAGTGAAAACAACATGAAGAAAAAGAGTTTACTTTTGTTCTTTGATTTTAATGTTTCAACAGGTGGGTGCAGAAGAAGCAGAGAGATTTTGCAAGGCTTTCCAGAAAATCCATAGGAAACTGGTATGTACTTTAGTCAAATCATTTGGGCTAGTGATTCTCTAGAAACTGATTCACCAGAATTGTGGAGATCTGTTTGGGGATAGTTTACTGAGAAGGGTTTTGAATCAAAGGGGAAAGGGAAAAAAAAAAAGTCAATAATTTAGGCTACTAATTTACTAGATAGGGTTACCTGTAGAGTATTTTGACCAATAAAAGAGTGACCATAGTGTCAATACTATATTAGTCAGGATATGAGTTATCCAAGGGCTGCTAATTAATAGGAATCCCGGTAATATAGGATGCTTAAATCTCGCATCATTTAGTATGACTAGACAGTGAAGCACTCAAGCTTCTGAACTCAAGCTTTCATGAAAAATTTTATTTGTTTGTTTATTCATTGATGTTTGTCACACCCAGGTCTATGAAGAATTGACTGAAGATGCTGCACGAAAGTTTATGAGCTCGTAGAGTTTGGAAACGAAGACGACAAACCATGTTTTATTGTGATTGAACCATCATTTGCCAAGGATTGTAACTTCATCGTGGTACTAAATCCCAACCAGCCAACGAGTAAATTGGTGAACTAGTTCTCTAGCTGATCCTATCAAGAGTTTTGGATAGGTCGATTGGGTTAGGTTTTATATTTTTTCTCCCTTTACAGAGCCTTAAACAACGTCATTGAGTTTAAGAAAAAAGTAGTAGTCTATTAAACTTGTGCTTTAGTAATTTTGTTACTGTGAGTCATATATGAATATTCCATTTACTTGTGGGTTTTTTTTTCGTTGGGGTAAATATTGCTTGTTTAGGGTTTTACAGGATATAGATATATGTTACAAGTGGTTTTATTTGGGTGTTTCGTTAATTGAATTCGCATCTGTTAATGATCTCATTGGAGAGTTCCCTTGTGTGAAAAGGGATTTGGAGTGTCCAGAATCTAGCATATAGAGCAGATATTTATTAGGGAAAATTGATCTTTTGGTCCCTATAGTTTTCACTTATTTGTAACTCAGTATCTATACTTTGACTTGGCACAACTCAATCCCTATAGTTTTGACTCGATTGTAACTCAGTCCCTGAAATTTGACTCGCTGCAACTCGGTTGTAATAAAAGGAGGGACTAAATTATAAACTAGTTAAAACTATAGGGACCGAGTTGCAGCGAGTCAAACTTCAGAGACTGAGTTACAACCAAATCAAAACTGTAGGGACTGAGTTGCACCGAGTCAAAGTATAGAGACTGAGTTACAAATGAGTAAAAACTATAGGGACCAAAAGATTAATTGTCCCTATTTATTATCAAGTAGTTATATGAAAAATGCAAAAAAGCAAATGTAGTATTGTATTCAATGCCTCTTATTCTGATAAGTAATAGTTCACTCCTATTTTAAAAGAAAAATATAAGTAATTTACCAAAATAATTTGTCTATTTATTTTCTAACAAGAAACCATGTATTAAATACTAACACTAAACTACTAAAATATTTTATCTGGCTGCTATCATATGGCACCTTTAATTTAATCACTTTACCAAAATCAAAGAAAGTAGGGTAAATCATTAATTTTATTTAAAAATAAAATAAATTTTTTTATTGTATCAATATTTGAGTAAAAAATTTTCATATTTATATTATATCACCTTTCATGATTGATAACTTTAAATGAGTGATACTGAATACCTGAGAGTAACTTATTATCAGAATCATCTATTTATTCTGAAAAAATGTCTTGGAGTACTGGAAAATTGAAAGGAGGCATGGTATATCGATCCTCTTGGTAGATCAATGAGGTAAATGATACGCAACCTATTTAAGGAATTCGACTTAAAAAAACAAGTTTCAACAATTAATCGATTTACACACAAAAATTATACCTCCTCCACTTCCTAATATAACAGCCACTGGGGGATTTAATTTAGTCCTGATATAAAATCTTAATTCATTTTGTTTTTAAAATTTAGTGTTAAATATAAGATTTTAATTTATTTTGTCTCCAAAATTTATAAGTTACTCTCAAAAATATTCTTATTAATTGTACATGTTAAGAAATTTTCATTCAAGGATAGTCATGATTAAAAAGACACTTTAGGGGGGAAACTTTAGAAAATCAATTCATATTTATGACAAATAATTAACTTAATTAATTTTTTTGATTTATGCAAATTATTTAAGTAATTATTATACTAAGAGCCACAGTTAGTATTAAAAATGAAAATTATGGGAGTTCCAGGCCAAAGGATATTGACTTGACATTACAAAGGATTTGCACTACCCTCATTTCTCACGGGGGTAAAAGCAGTACTGCTCAACCTTCCCCCACCATAACAAGGCTTAACATTACAATACAAAGCAGTTTAAAGAAACTAGTGTTAATAAGTACTTATTAAGATTTTGGGCTCTTGGGATGATATATAATGGACCCTGCTGCAAGGATGATGATGATGAACCTTGCACCAGAAAGGAAAAAAAGGAATAGGAGGAACAAGAAAGGGTGATGGAAGAGAGCCAAAATAAGTTGTCAAAAGAGAGCTAGTAAAACGGGCTAACCCGCGGGTTGCGGGTTGGCCCATGACGGGTTGCAGGTTATTTAGGTCGGGCTCAAAAGGCCCGTTTTGTAGCGGGTTGGTATTCTGCCAACCCTAACCCACCAACCCGTCAGATTTTTTTAAAAATAAATTTTCTTATAAATAATCAAAAATTTAAAAAAAATCAGAAATGATTTAAAGTATTCCAAGCATTCACACAAAATTACAACACATTAAAACACAAAATATACAATTGTCCAAAGTTCAAACTCCAAACATGATAAAACACAAGTTCAAACATAAATTTTTCCTACCTTTCCTGTCCACCTCATAATATTTTAATATATATAAAAATTTAAAAAAAATTAGGCGGGTTGGTGGGTTCAACCCGCCAACCCGCGGGTTGACCCATGACAGGCTCGGGTTGTGGCAGTGCGGGTTCATATTTTTCAGGTGATGGCGGGTTGACCAAATGCCAACCCAAACCCGCCTCTTTTGGCAGGTTGGCGGGTTCAACCCGCCGGTCCAACCCATATTACCGGCTCTAATAAATACCGGCTGACCAAACTTGGTGACCAATAATCGTGGACTTTTGGGATGTTTGGGTCAAAATAAAACCATAATTTTAAAAATATTTTTACTGTATACGAAGTAAATATGTAAAGGAATTTGTCTTGATTTGTAAAAAAATACTTCTGAGAAATGCTTTTGAGATTACCCAAACACCCCTTTTCTCGATGTTAAACGTTAATATCCACATTAACAAAAAATGATGACATGGAGGCTGACGTGGTGACTAAAACGTCCTAGCTGGAAATTGAGCAAAGGAGAAGCTGAGCAAGAGCATCTGACCTCTTTTTTTTATTTAAAAAAAAAAAAAATGTCTCACCCAGAGCTCACTTCTCTCAGCTGACAACTCCCCTGTCATCTTCTTCAAACTTCTGTATCTCTTTGCAAATTCTCCTTCCTCTTTGAATCCATTGTCATCTTCCGTCACGCACAAACTATTAGAGACGCGGGGCCGGACAACGGAATAGGGAAGTCTCGTAATGGAGGATCGGCGAGGACGGCAATATCTTACTGGATTTGTTGCTTGCCCGTAGTTTGAAATTGTTGCTGCCCGCTTGCTCGGTTTGTCTATCATAATGATTCCTCCTCATGGTTCTGGACTTTTAATTTGTTTCCCGCTCGTCGTCCCCATATTAATTATGTTTCCCCTTCCACTTTTTACCTCTGATTGTTCGTACGGGGAAGAAATCGGCAATGGAGGAGGAAGGTTGAAGAATTGGGTTAAGCTGCATATAAAACTCTTATACTAACATTTTGAAATATTCTGGACTGCGTCACTCTTGAATTATTTTTTTCAGTTACATCTAATATCCTAAAAAATATTTTGGTGGTACCTTAAATTATTAAATATAAAATTATACTAAAAAATACTTTAGTGTTAAATACACATAAAAAAGTAAATACTTTAGCGCTAAATACACATAAAAAAAAGTCCTTCAAAATGTGAATGTATCATAAAATATTTTAAAATACTATATGCACATCATAAAATATTTCAGGATGTTAACCAAAAAAATTGATCCACAGGTAAATAAAAATTTAATTCATAAATCGTATACTACCTCTAATTCTTAATATAAAAACTAGATAACTACTTAAAATAAATTTAAAAAAAATTAGTTAACTCGGTTATTGTTTGTAAAAAATACATATTGATTTTCTTAAATTATCATTATTTAATTATGTACGTTGGAATTATGTTGGAGTGAAAATATTTTACAATCAATAAGAGTATTTTTAAGAATACATTATAAACTTAAGAGATAAAATGAATTTGAATATTATATTTAGGATCGTTAACTAGTTCTTATATTTAAAATGAGAGGTAGTATACTCTAACAAAACAGCATTACTAAAATAGAGTATTGCGTAATGTTTTTTTAAATCTTTTTTAAAATTTAATAAAAAGAAGAAAATAAAATAAAATGCGGAGGAACAGTAAAATGTCTTTTGAAACAATAATATTATTCGGTTCGGCTGTCTCTACGTATGGATTGACATGGTGGGCCCGTATCACCAGTTGTCGGTACATGCTGTCGTGTGGGATTCCGCTTCCTCTCTGCTTTCCGTTATGCGCGGCATCTTGGGGGTCGAGGTGCGTGTTCCGGGGCATGATCGCCGTCTGTCCTTTTCCCCAAGATATGGAGTCGTTAACACTTAACATCAAATCCAATTAAGGGTGTGTTTGGATAGAAACCAAACCATGGTTTCAGAAGTGCTTTTACGGATTACGAAGTAAATATGTGGAGGAGATTATCTCGTTTTGCGGAAAAGTGCTTCTGAAACCACGGTTTTGGGATATCCAAACAGGCCCTAAGTTAGCTACTGCCTCCAATATTATTTGTAAAAGCTTAGTTATAAATTATAAATAAGATCTTATAAGGGAAAATGACACTAAAATACCACTTGAATTCTAAAAAGACAAATAAGGCACCTGAATAAACAAAATGACAAAAAAGGCATCAGGTACCAATCTGGAATTTTGATTTTTGGCCTAAAGACTGAATTGCCCTTATTGTGTTTGAAAACTGAGGAGATAGAGAAAGGTAGAAATCGCCTCCTCCCAGTAAAAGCAATTCCCCCCACTCGGCGAAAGAGAAACTGCCCCCACTTGGCGAAACCAATCCATCTACTCGGTGAAACTAATCCCTCCCCTCAGTGAAACCGAATCCCTCTACTCGATGAAACCAATCCCTCCACTCCACGAAACCGAACCCCCTCCAGTTGACGAAACTAAATCCTTCGCATCACCATTCTGTAGAGATTGTTGATTTGGTGGGTTTTGGTTGTGGGAAAGAGGATTTGTAGTGAAAGAGGGAGTGAACCTGTGGGAAAGACGAAGCGGAAATCAGAAAACAATAGCAAGCAATTACGTAATGTAACTGCTGTCATATGCTTGCTGGTTTTTGGTGAATCCCATTACGTGGTAAATTTCACTATACATGTAGTTAATTATGAATTTTACAAAATACATATTGTGATTTACAACTTTTGTAGTGAAAGTAACTACTTTGTTAATGGGTTTTGCAACCTGTTTTCAGGAGATAAACAACTTGTTTGTAAAAACTAATAAAATTTCACGTTAAATTTGACAAAATGTATAGTGGGATTTACAACTTCCGTAGTAAAAATGACCACTTATTGAATGGATTTATAACTTGTTTTCAAGGGATGGGCAGCTTGTTTCTAAAAACTAATAAAATTTCCTACTAAATTTGACAAAACACATAGTGAGATTTACAACTTTCGTAGTGAAAATGATCACTTCTTCAATGAGTTTTGTAACATGTTTTCAAGGGATTGGCAACTTGTTTCTAAAAACC